TACATACGATATGATTCCAACTATTTGACGTTCTGGAAAAGGCAAAACTATGGAGCCAGTAAAAGGACCAGTGATTTCCAGGAGTCGGGGGAGGGCAGGGAAATGAATAAATGGAACACGGACTATTTCAGGGCAGTGAAAATGCTCGGCGTGACACTGTGATGGTGGGCACATGTCATTATACCCTTGTCCAAACCATAGCAGGTGCGACATCAAAAGTGAGCCCTAATACAAAGTATGGACTGTGGGTGATAATGACGTGTCCTGTAGGTTCACCGATCGTAACAATATATACTGCTGTAGGGATATTGATGATGGGAGAGGCTGTAAATGTGGGGGTCAGAAAAAATAACGGAAATCACTACACGTTTCCTCTCAATTTTGCTGGAAACTTAAAATTGCTCTAAATATATAGTCTTTTTCAAAAGGTTCATTTGGAGCACAGAAGAGAAAAAAGACACAGGGAGGAAATGAACGCTTACTGAAGACCTATTTTGCTCCATGAACTAGTAAGAGAAGCTTCAGGCCAATGAGGTTAACGGAGGTGAAGGGCAGGTGAGAACAGTAACTAAGGCTCGTCTTCAAGAACTTGAATGATTTCACGAAAGAAAAGGGAGAGGTGCCAGAGGCTGAGTCAGGACAACACTGTGGTAGGAGACCAGAGCATCCTGGGAGGACAAGGAAAAGGGCAAATAGAGAAAACAAAGAAATGAGAGCCGGTGGGGAGCCTGGGTGGCTCAGTTGGTTAAGCGTCATCTGACTCTTGATTTTGGCTCAGGTCGTGATCTCAAGGTGGTGAAACTGAGCCCCATTTTGGGCTCTGAGCTGTCAGTGCAGAGGCTGCTTGGAATTCTCTCTCCCTCTCTCTGCCCCTCCTCTACTCGCTCTGTCTCTCTCTCTCTCAAAAAACAAAACAAAACAAAACAAAACAAAACAAAAACAAGCAAACCAACCGACAAGCAAACGCCACAACCTTTGAAAAGAAACAGGAAAAGTTTTAAGAATTAGATAACTTCCCCAAAGCATTATTTATAGCTAATATTTGGGAGGCCTTTAGGATTACTAGTACCATTTTAGCATAAGGAAATGGGGGAGCTAAGAATTTCAGTGGCTCTGAACACCAAACGAGCAATAACATTTGACCCACAGACTTGTTTGCTAGATGCTTTGTGCAAACTCTGGGTATTTATCCTTAGACGTGTTTCTTAGTCATTCGTTAGAAAACCAAACCAAACCAAACCAAAACAAAACAAAACAAAATAAAACTCTGCATTGCTTTAGGTCCCAGGAGGGCACAGAGGTGACAAGAGTCTTACCCATCTAGACCTCCGAGAGCATCTCTGAGCCAGGGATACGTCAGCAGAATGCCTAGGGAGCCGCTGATAACTGAATGCCCTGGGAATATGTGCTACAGCGTGCAAGAAAGTAGCCAGGGTGTCCCCAGTTGCCAGAGATCCTGCGTACATTTCCACACGGAAGCACTCGCGGGAAAGTCCAATTGGTTTAGCAAAGGGCCAGCCCGACGCACGCATCCCGCGTCTCCCTGACTAGACGTGCGCGCTTTCTCCAGTATGTTCTGTCTTAGAAAGCATTTCGTATTCCTACGTGCTGAATGCACAGTCACAATTGACACATTCACTTATCGAAATTGGAGGTCACAATATATTTCCTGCTCAGCACCCTCTTCATACCGTATGAAAATTAAATAGATTTCTTGGAAACAGAGAAGCACTTAAAATGTAGGGAGTTGTCGCCGAAATACTTCCAACGGTCCTGTGAGTGTGCAGTTAATTGAGGATGTCAGGCAAGAGTGCATTAAGGGAGGAGGGAACTAACATAAGGACATTTTTTGCTCCCTACCATGCTTTCGCCACAGCATCCAAAACCCCTCTCCAGAGAGAAGGGGAGAGAAACACTTCCCCACCTTTTCGCTCGTCTCCCACCTAAATCCATACCTCACGGTCACTAGAACAAAGAATAAACCTGCTAAGATCATTTCTTCCCAGCCATGTGTCCTAAACGCTGTTCTGTGCTCTTCCAAAAAGGAGCCCAGACTGGTGTCCCTAAAAGATGACAAAGGTCATGGGAGAAAAATGCTTAGCAAGATGCATGGCCAGGACCCACCCCCAGCAAGCCCCGGAAAAATTCTCAAATGCTGCAATTTATGGATGAATTAACATGGGAAAGAGGGTGTTTCTCTCTTGCTTACTCTATGGTTTACAAAGCCTCTCCCGACTTCTGGGGAATCAGGCTCATGCTTAGGAGCAGGATTTGAAATGAGCAAAAGCCTTTTGTTTTGTAGAGCTGTAAAATTACACCCAGTGGCACCTGCTATTGTAGTTAACTGTGTTCTTCACTCATCATTCAATTAATACCTAATCCTCTAAGTGCAACGTTGTGGGGCAGCAGAGGAAGTAATTCAACAAACACAATGGAAAATAACTTGCGAAACAGCAGGTCAAGTACTCAACATAAAACGCATATCAAATATAAGATTTCGCAAAGGGTAAATTAATTTGCATGCTCTGAAAATTCCGTCTCCGCAACGAGGCATTAATTTTTTTACCTCGGGAGAAAGGTTTCTCAGCAAATGAAATTTTAAAATACTGCTCATTGTATCTCTCTATTTTCTCTGTTCTTTTCTCCCCTTTTCACTCTCCGCTCCTCAACAAAAACAAGAAAAATAATCAGTATAGGCTTCTGGCAACACAGCGAGAGAAATGTGAGATTGGCCCTTAAGGGAATTTTTATTCTCAAGTGGATGTAAATGTATTCATCAATTCAAAGAAATGCATAGTGTGTTATATACACAATACATTAATAAATAGCCATGCATTAAAAAATAATGAGGTTTTCCACAAAACAACATCCTGTGGTGTGTAAGGTCATAAAAAAGATACTAAAAGAGGGAGAAAAGATTATGTGTAAAATCTGATTAAAATACAGAAACACCATCATATATGTAAGATGTAATAAATATTTTATTAGTTAACTATAAACAAAAGAACAAATGCAGTAAAATGTAATTAAAAATGTAAAAGTGAAGGATGTGATTTATTTCACTACGATAATATTAATATTACAAACGGCATGTAAATGGATATCAAGACTATATTGTAGAAAGAGTGGAAAGCAGCCATTCATTTCTTATAATGAGATTTCATCCTTTTTTTTTTTTTTTGATTTACATGTGTTTAAATATTTCAAATAGTGAATGAATAATGTTGCTCTTAAACCTTACACAGCTTAGCACATTCTCAGATTTCCATCAGTCCTTGGAAGAGATTTGCATGTTGGCAGGCAGTTTCCAGGCAGAACCACTAATTGTGAAAATAGAAGAAAATTGACTGGCAGAAACCAAGAGTATTTTTAGGGCTGTTGGCTGAATGAGTTTGGCTTTGAGTTGTAACCCCTACTAGTGAAGGTGCTAGAACCAAAAATAGAGTGTTACACAAGGTTCCCCAATTAAAAAAGGTGAAAAGACCAAAATGTAACATTCATCAACTACTATTGGCTTGAAAACTATTAGGGGTCTAACCTGCTAAGATTATGTGAAAGGGACTTTGCTGGCATTGCTTCTGAAAGAGAGCAGAAAGTCAGAGGTTTTACTTCAACACCATCGAAACCTCGGCACACGAAAAACCCTGAGAAAGGAGATGCACCTTGTATTAGAAATCATCCCTTCTTGTTGAGACTCAGTGAAAGGGAAAATACAGCTTAAAGAACTCTCTTCCACGTTTATGGACGACATGCACAAAATCACCCTGCAGTTGGGCTACAACTTGGTCCTCCATCTGAGTAATCATCTCATACCTCTCTTGAGGTGTCTACCTCGCAAAAGGAAATACGATTTCTTTTATTATCAGAGAGGGAGGAAACAGATTCCGAAAGAGCATGAATTGGCCACTTTATTCAACTGGTATGTAGGCGAAACGAGGTTTGAGTTGCAACCTCTTTCTTTAAGCTTCCGTATTTATTTTTGAGAGAGAGAGAGAGAGAGAGAGAGAGAGAGGGAGGGGCAAAGAAAGAGGGAGAGAGAATCCCCAGCAGGCTCTGTGCTGCTAGTGTGGAGCCCAAGACAGGGCTGGAACTGACAGACTGAGATCATGACCTGGGCTAAGATCAAGAGTCAGACACTCAACCGACTTAGCCACCCAGGCACCTCTGAATTCCAACTTTCTGAACCCATGTGCACTAAGCTTTCCGCTCTGCCCTAAATGCCCTCAAATTTCATGACGTCTCCAGTGGCTTCTGAAGTGTTTTCCTTTTATCTTTACGGTACCTCTGTTTCTGACCTGCCTACTGCCTTATCTTCACCTAATTCCCATGTTTCCCAGTCGCATTATGAACTGGGCCTTCATAGTTCCAGCTGTCAAAGCCCTACGAGTACGTGTTTGTCACCGTACTCGTGTCTGGCCTTCCCACACCCTGTCCATTGGCATAGCCTAGAAATGAGCTGCCTTGATTTTGCTTCTCTTATCCCCACCAGCAAACAGCATCCAAAGCAGCGCTGAATTGTGGGAGTTTCCATTTCTTCTAATGCAGGTATCTCCATTCATTTCTCCTGGTATAAAAATGATCTTGCAATCTCCCTTCTCGATGAAGCTTTCCTGCATAGATCAAAGAGCAATTTTTGCTTCTCTGGTCTATTGGAGTGTGAGTCAGGAATATTTTAGCCACACGGGTAGGAGGAATCCGGCTACAATGGCTTCCACCAACATGGATTTGTATTCCTACACAGCAAGATGTTCAAAAGTCAATGGTTATTGGTTTTGCTTCCTCAGTCTAAAGACGTAAAGAGCAATGCCACTACCTTTATCTGTCCTTCATGGTCATAAGGTTGCTGCAGGGGTGTCTGGGTGGCTCAGTTGGTTAAGCTCCAGACATTGGCTCAATCACGTTCTCATGGTTGGTGGGTTCGAGCCCCGCGTCTGGCTCTGTGCTGACAGTGCAGAGTCGGCTTGGGATTCTCTCTCTCTCTCTCTCTCTCTCCCTCTCTCGGCCCCTCCTCCATTCACAATTTCTCTCGCTCTCAAAATAAATAAGTAAACCTAAAAAAAAAAAAAAAAAAAAAAGGAGGGCTGCCGCAGCCCAGCCATCATCTCTACACTTAAGGCGAAGAGTTGGAAGACAGAACAATTTCAGGGGCTATATGAGAAAAACAAAAGCTTTTCCCAGAACTGCACATCAGACTTCCCCTTCCCTTTCATTCACGAGAACGATGTGATGTACTCTGCATACTAACTGGAAGTTGGCTAGAAAGAAGTTGGAAATGGTGACTTGGTTAGCCACCCAAGAGTGTCTGCCATATTCATTGAACCAAAATAATTGTGTTTCCTCACTAAGCAAACATTGTACCAGATGTTTATCCTCTCACTCGGGCAATAAACAAAGCCTAATTGAGAGCTTTTTCTGTGCATAGCATTATGTTCATATCATGGAAGATACAGAAATAAACCAAGCACAGATCCCAGCTTCAGAGGACATGGCCTAATAGAAAATATAACATGAATACTATGACATATACAGTATGACAAATATAACATAAAGAAGGTAAACTCTCCACTACCTTAAAATCTAAGTAAGTAAGCGTGAAGCATGGGAATAAATGAGGAGTGTTTGAAACACTAGCGAAGAGATAAGGCAGAATGTTACAAATAGGTGCAGTTCTCTGACAGCATAAAATGTGGATAAGGGAAAAGTTATAATAGGACAGAATCAGCTCCATAGACTGTTTTGTGTAAGAAATAATGGGGAAGTCATGTTTTAATCATAAGGAAAGAACATGAATTAAGCTACAACAGTGGTTTCCAAAACATTTTCGGTCAGGTAGCCTTATCGATAAAAAAGATTTGAGAAAAAAGTATTTAAGCATTGGCCCTTAGTATGCCTGTGGATACATTATTTATAAGTTATATACATAGAACTAAGTATGGAGATGAAGAAGTTATTTATAAATTACATACATATACCATTGTACTGATGTAGTATCTACCTAATAAAACACACACAAAATTGAAAGTTTAGAAGGATGGCGTTCAAAGTATCTCTCCAGAGGATTCTTACCAATTACAGAGTATAAAATAGTAAGTTTAAGGTGGAGAAACCTGGCAGACACCATCTTAAAAATATGATTAAAACCAGACCACTAGTAATTGGTAGAGACGCATCAGTATCAGATGCCTTCTGATAAGACGCATCGAGAAAGGAACAGTATCCCTTATGTGGCATTCCTGCTAAAAAGGCATCCCCTGATTTTAGTTATGAGGAAACATCACACAAACTCAAATTAAAGAACATTTTGCAAAATACCTGGCCGGTACAATTCTTCAAAGAGTCCGAGTATTTCCCAGATTGGAGATGAATAAGGAGAAATGAATGTGGATCCTGGATTGGGTCCTGGACCAGAAAAAGAACATTAATGGGACAGTCTGAAACATTTGAATAAGGGTTTTAGAGGTATTAATAGTATTGTGTCTGTATTAGTATCAATGATACTAATACAATATTAGTATTAGATCAATATTAACCTGGTTGGGTTCCTTATTTAATATGTTAACTGTTCCTTACTTAATATGTAATATGTTAATATGTTAACTGGTCCTTATTTAATATGTTAACCTTTGGGGAAGCTAGGGAAAGTGTATATAAGATTTCTTAATGCCAGTTTTCAATTTTCCCAAATAAAAAAATACAAAAAAGGATATGACCTTTAAGACGTAGATATAGAAGTTCTTGGCAATGTAAAAAAAAAGAAAAAGGACAAAGAAGGAGGAGGAGGAGGAGGAGGAGGAGGGGGAGGAGGAGGAGTCTAAGGGTGATTAGGAGTCTAATTTCCTACCCTAGGCTAGGTGAGGGTGGGGCCTATATTAATGTAATCTCTTTGAATCTTCTTAAAATTAAGCCTTGTTTTAAAGAAGGTAAGAAATACAAGATACGAGCTAGTACAAGAGTAGTACAAGAGTAGGAGAAGACAAACAAACACAAATATTTTGTGGGGTTTGGTAACGTTGGTATCACTCTCACAATTTTTATTTTTGTTATCCTTCGCCAGTTCTCCATCGTGATTAACAAACAAAAACCTAAAAACACAAATGGTCGGTGTGCCTATCTCCAGTATCAGGAAGGAAAGAGTGAGCTGGGGAGACTGTGTCCTTTCCCACAACCAGGCTGGGGGAGTTCACCAAAAATCCAAACGGGTCAGGCAGCTTCAAAGAGGAGACAAAGGACAGCAGGGCCCCTGGGTCATACCACAAGGAGGAGATTTGGAGCATAGGAAGCCCTAACCGTGAGCAAGAATCCTGGGACTGAGCAACAACTTAAGGATAATAAGAAACGGGAGACAGTGAGAGAGAAAACAATTCTGCACTGGTAAATGCTCTTCCGCCACCCCACCCCAACTAAACTTCAGCCCTTTCATGTTATCACCGTGAATAGACATGCATTGTATGCCTGCTGTTAGCTCCACCATAAATACAAACGCATTTATTGAGCACCAACTACAGGTGAAAGCCTTAAGGGTATAATTCTCAAATGAATCAAAGTGGGCATTAATATGGGTCTTCCCATCAATTTGTTTACCTGCACCTGTACTCTGTCTGCTCCTAGGTCCCCGCATCCTTCATGGAGACACCTGTCATCTTTGACCACTCCCTGTCTGCTTCCCTGTCGAGGATGACACTTCAGGTACCTCTTTACCCTTGGTCTTGACAGCGTGATCCGTTTCACGGTGCCTATTGGCTCTCGCTCAACCCGAGACAGACTTCCCAGATCTGAGCGCGTAATCCTGTCACTCTTTAGGGATGGAAGGAGAAAGAGAGGAAAGGGGAAATGAAGACAATACTTACGATATCCCTTTCCACAGTAAACGCTTAAATCCTGGGGAAGGAAGAAGTGAGAGTTATCCGGCGGCCCCGCTGTATTTCTGAAGTGATGGTAATTTCATCCTTCTGCCACTTTCCTCTTGTGCCCTGCATCCTTTATCACTTATCCTTCTATGTGTATAGCATCAGCCTCTCCTAACTTCTACACTCTTGCTTCTGCGAACTACTGGATATTTCCACCTGTAAGTCTCAAGAGCACCCCCAAATTGTGCAATTCCCCAACCTGCTCCCTTTCTTTATCTTCACCAGAGCCAGAGCCAGAGCCAGAAGGTTGTCCCAGACTCTTTTCCCTCAGCTGATCAACCCAGATGGCTATCAATTATCAACAGTCCCATCAGTTCCCAACAGTCCCATCAGTTCTACCCAGATTACCTCGCTCATATTGACTCCCTCCTCTGCCACCTGATTACTACTGCTCGGGCCTTCACTATCTCTCACTCAGACTCTTGCAATCAGATTTGTGCTGATCTCCCTGCTTCTGGTACTCCGTATCTACTCTATCTCTTGTGACCTAATCCTTTCTCTCTCTCTCTCTCTCTCTCTCTCACACACACACACACCCTCTCAAATCTATTCTCGCTGATACAGCAGCTGGGATTATATTCCTAAACTTCAGATATGACCATTTCACACCCCTGCTTGAATCCCTGCCATGGTTTCTTACCTGCTTAACCAAAGTCCCGACAAGTGAGCCCGGACTCCAGCCTAGTTCCTGCCTGCCTCTCCAGCCTCTTTGTACCGCTCTCAGCACTCAATAACCTGCGAGCCGTAGATTCAGAACAGGGTGTACCTTCCCTTTCCTTAGAAAAGCCAAGCCAACTTCCCCCCCCCCCCCCACCACCACCACCCATCGTATCCAATCCACCTGGCAAACTTTCACTCATCCCCCATGATTTAAAGCAAATGTTCCACAAGAAGCAATACGTGTTGGCGAAGACGTGGGGGGATAAAGAACCCTTGTGGCCTGTTGGTGGGAATGCAAACTGGTGCAGCCACTGTGAAAAACAGTATGGAGGTCTCCCCCCCCCCCATAAAGAAAATAGAACTACCCTATGATCCAGTCACTCCACTCTGGGTATTTACCCCAAGAATACAAAAACACTAATTCATAAAGATATAGGCACCCTATGTTTACTGCAACGCTGCTTACCAAAGAATCTCCAGTATCCACTGATGGATGAATGGATAAAGAAGATGTGTATATATACATAATGGAATATGATTCCGCCATCAGAAAGAATGCGGTCTTGCTTTTGCAATAACACGGATAGAGCTAGAGAGTGAAATACGTCAGTCAGAGAAAGACAAGCACCGTGTGATTTCACTCGTGTGGAATTTAAGAAAACAAAAATAAACAAAGAAAAAGTGAGACAAACCAAATAATAAAGAAACATAAACAAACAAACAAACATATTTCAAAAAAAAAGACAGGAGGGAAGCAAGCAGTGGCAAAGAAGAGGAAATCTAAAGAGGTACACACACTCCGGACAAAGGAGGACAGGAGGTTCTGCACAAAGAGAGAAAGAGAAGAAAGAGAGAGGGGGAGGAAAGGTGGGACGGAAAAGGAAAGGAAAAGAGAAGAAAGGGAAGGAAAGGAGAAGAGAGGAGAGGAAAAGGAAGAGGGAAAAGGAGAGGAAAAACTATTTAGGAACTATTCAACAGGCAGCAGAACGGTAAGAACCTGACAAAACACCCTAAATCTTTGTCCCTACACCTGTTCTTCTGACCAGTTTTTTATTCTTAGCTTCCGGTTTTTTTTTTAGTTTATTTATTTATTTTGAGGGACGGGCAGAGAGAACGGGAAAGAGAGAATCCCAGGAAGGCTCTGTGCTCTCTCGAAGCTGGGGCTCGAACCCACAAACCACAAGATCGTGACCTGAGCCAAAACCAAGTCTGACGCGTAACTGACTGAGCCCCTCAACTTCCCCTCGTAGTCTTACCCTCCATCTGTTTCTCTTGGAACGATTAGCAGACAGCCTTGACAACAAAGAGTCTATCGGGGGAGCTAGCAAGGAAGGAGAGATCGAAGCTTTCTGTCCCGTCCCCCTGGAAGGAGCACACCAGGTGCAGTGCATGGTAGCCGACCTGGAGAGAGGAGAGTGACAGAATCCCTGAGCACTGCAGAGGGCGAGGAGAGACCCCGACTAGAAAGATCCTTTACTTCCCACAACTACTCTGTGCAACATACTAGTGTCTGCGGTAGATACACAAGACGGACACTTCTCAGTCTGTTATCGGAAGACGTTGATGAATACTAAAGAATTTGGAGAAAGGAACAGTTAATTGTGTCTGAAGAATCTTATAAAACTTCTTAGAAGAAGGGTCCTTGGAGCTGGAGAATAAGGGAAGGATTTCGACAGGTGCCTATGGAAAAGGGACCCTTCCAGAGTTGCTCGGAGACCGGGAACCTAGACAACGTCCCCTGCTGTGTACATCTCCAGCAATACTGACACCAGGGTCTGCTCATTGGTCATTTTAATATCTCTATTCTTAGACCATGCATTTAAATACATCTTTTTCAGTAGAAGAATGCAGAATCAGTGTCCTCACGGTTACCGTTTTGCAGCAAAGTTCCTATAATGGTTATTTGCTTACTAACTGTTGATGCTAGGGACAATGAGATAAAAATGATCCTTTTGACGACACTCAACTTAATTTCCCTTGAAGAAGAAAGAGTTGGGTTGCTTCTCGCTTTGTTGTTCGCGTGTTTTGAGGAATGCCTGAATAAGAGTAAAAAGGTATACTTGCAATGACCCACGTGAGATCAACACCTGTCGTTCTCAACAAAAGCTCTCTTTTCTGTTGTCATGAACTCTTCTAGAAGAGCTGAGGGTGGAAAATTTAACAGTTGACAATTCAGGGTTGGCCTTCAGGGTTTAGATGCCACAGGCATTCCAGAATCTCCTAGGAGAGCAGGTAAGGAGGTAGCTTAGCATCTTGCCATTAAACCGAACTTTTAAATGAGTCACTTATATACATATATATATGTATAGATATATATATACACGTGTGTGTGTGTGTGTGTGTGTGTGTGTGTGTGTATACTGGGTTTATTTTACTGTAAAATGTCAGAATGATCAAAATAGCAACAAATTTAGATGACAAAAACTTGAGTAGAAGACAGAGTTAGTTATTAAAGGTAGACAAAAACAAAGATCATAACTAATTTGTAAATTGAACTGAGAGTAAACCAAGTAAATTAAGAAATGCAATTTAAATGTTCCCATAATTCAATATAAGTCACAAAATGTGTGTGCCTTTCAAATTAAGTCCATACTCACTAAGAAATAGCTCCGTTTTAATCCTTTGTGAAAGCAAACAATTCATTTCACAGAAAATTCTCAACCTTCCGCAGGGAGAAAAAAACTAAGATTTCTAAACTATAATTCAGTGGCCTATTTAAAGGTTCCGGCAGGTGAGTGACACTTCGTAGAAATTTTGAGAGGCTATGCCTGCAGCAATAAAGAAGAGAACTCACAATTCAGAGCATCAGTTATTGGCCAAGTGTTTCACTTTTTAATCTTACCTTACTGAATCCTCATCAGTACCTTTAAAATAGAGACACATTCATTACATCAGTATATATTGTAACATTATTTTATTATTATTTTTCTGTGATTGTTGTTACTACTAATACAGTGGGGCACATTTGACTTTCCAGTTTTTGGTCAATACATAAGAAAGAAATTAAGCCAAAATTACCCTCATAAAGTCACCTAAACACACTTTATATATATACAAAGTTATATGTGTGTGTGTGTGTGTATGTGTGTGTGAGTGTGTGTATATGGGGAATTTTGGTATATATAGATATATGGATATAGATATAGATAAATAGATATATAATTATATATATATTATATAATAATATATATATAATTATATATATATATATATAATTTTGAGAGAGAGAGGGAGAACATGAGAATATGAGTGAGGGAGGGGCAGAGGGAGAGGGAGAGAGAATAATAAGGAGGCTCCATACCTAGCATGGAGCCCGACACAAGGCTAGATCTCAAGACTGTGAGAGCATGACCTGAGCGGAAACGAAGAGTCAGACGTTTAACCAACTGAGCCGCCCAGGACCCCCACTTAAACACTTTAATGTGTAAGGATAAACACTTAGGAACTCCAACCATTTATTAACTTCTTATCTCTCTGCTTTTGGTCTCTGCACTCCTTTCCCTGCTGCAGATCACTCCCTTCCCCTCCCCGCTTCCCTTTCCCTCTTCTTTTCCCCCCACTCCCTCTCCCTCCCTCTCCTCCTTCTCTCTTTTAGGTAAGTTAAGTGTGCACAATGAAGCAAGTGCTTTATCATTCACCGTGCCTCTAGTACCCGCCAGGAACTGTGCTAAGTTCTTTGGATACATATTATTTCTAATGCATAAAGAAATTTGAAAAATATAGAACTTCATCACTATTTTACATAAGAGGAAATAAAGCTCAGTCACAGAGTTTAAGAAATGTGTCCAAGATCACGAAAGTGGTAAGTCCTGACCCAATTTTTTCTGAAGACAAAACAATATTATATCTTATATAATACGCTGTGATACCTCCTAGTCAAATGTGTTGGTTGGTGTGGTGACAGATATTGAGACAAATCCCCTTCATACACTTCAGAACCTTAGCTCCTGGGGCCAAAAGTTGGACCGTGAAAAGTCTCCAATCTTCAAATAAACAAAACCTGCAATTTGGGTATATGGCCACTAGGTGGCAGGTGTTCAATGGTTACTTTGTGATCCAAAAGGCAATGACTACTGTATGCGTGCCTGAGAGTCTCCATCACTTACTAACAGTGTATCTTACAAGTCTGATAAGCACTCCTCGCCCTGACTGCCCTGCCTGAAAATGAAATAACATTAGTAAAGATTTCATAAATTGGGTCTGAGGATTAAATGAAATAATGGGACAGAACAGGCATTCACTGCACATTAACCTCTTGGAATGCTTGATCTCCTCTCTTAATCCGATAGCTTCTATGGTATTCTAGACTGTTCTTTTACAACGAGGAGTACACTTCGGCCCTTTCTGTTCCTCTGATACACCACCTCTTGTTTGCCAGCCCATAAAATCCACCCCTCCCAGCAGGGTCTCACATTTTGCTGCCCCCATGCCACTTTTGGAGCTTCGGGGGGATAGCTAACTAGTACAAAGGCGTGTAGTTAGTAAGAGATGAGCTTAGATGCAAATGAGGCGACTGACTGCACAGCCTGGGCTCTTAACCACATATCTGTGGTTATTAACCTTGACTTTATATCATACTAACTTGGGGAACATTTCTTGAGAGCTCTGGAGCCTTTCCATGCCCACGGAATTAGAATCTAAGCATGTTCAGTTCCACAGGCAATTGGCTTATATCCACGGACTTGCGATTAACCGCGTGACACTTTTCTAACCCCCGCCCCCACTCATAGCAACGAACTTGGGGCCCAATTCCATACCTTTCTCACTAGTCCTGAAATGTTCTCTCTCCTCAAAATGAATTCTAAATGTTCAGGGAGTTTGTACTCAACCTCTCAAAGCACCTCTTGCCGCTTATCTGACAAAACCCGCCTCACTCCCTCTCTCGCTGTTATAACAGGAATAACTGCCAGGGAGCAAGATAAAGAAACAGTTTCTCTTCTGTGGTTTCCTGTTTCTAGTTCCACTGCATCTTTTTTTCTGCTACTCTGTCCTTTTGCCACTTGAAAGAAGTAAGAAGAGAAAAAAAAAAAAAAAGTGATAGAGTAGCATAATCCCATTGAGACCCTAAAGTGGCCAGGGGCTGAGTATTTGGAAGAGGACGCAATTCTATATTTTCATGTTAAAGAAATGTCAAGATGCCTTTTACCATTTAAATCGGTAGCTGGATGTAGCTTACTTAATTTAATGATAACAATGATTAAAATTAGCCAGTTGGCTCAAGCAGTTCGCTTTATCAACACTCAGTAGACTGTTCTTTTTCTGCCTTAGTTAGCAAATTATTAAACAATGTTTCTGTTCTCAGCAAATCTAAAGATTGAGGGCGTAGCCCTGCCTCAATGCACACTATCACATGCTCTTTGCTCAATGCTCTTATTGTCTCTGTACTGTTAAATTTCTCCTCTGAAATATTGAATGATCATACTAGATGACTTCTGCAGTCATATTCAATTCTAAAATGCTATGATTTTATCTCCCTATAAGACTATTAACATTGTCCTTAATATAATTATTTTTCCCTTCAAATGCTTGCACTAGTACAGAAGGGAGAGGAGCTGATTTGTCAGGAGCTTTTGATGGAAAACACCTGGGTTTTTAGACGATTATGAGCTCAGTTAGCAAATGCTGAAAAGAACAGGGTATTCTAGGCTACATCATAAGAAGTAAGGATTTCAGATTAAAGGAGGTGACAGACCCCCTCATACTCTTTGTTATTCAGATGCCATTTGGATACACATGTTTAGTTCTGACCAGTGTAACCTTGGGAGAGACATTGGCAAAAGACAGCCCATCCCAAGAGAGCAACCTGGATATCAGGAGCAGCTGAAGAAGGCCAGAATGTGTGATTTCAAAACCCAGCATGCCACATACATGAATAGTCTCCATGTAGCTGCGTAGATGAATAGTCTCCATGTAAAATTCAATTCATTCAATGATGTTCCAGAAAGCAGAACCAAACATAAGCGTTGAAAATTACAGAGAGACAGTTGTAACTCGTATAGTGAAAATGTCATTCTCCCGGTAACAGTTACTCAAAAAGAGAGTAGATTTCCTTGAAAATAATTCCCTATCACTAACCACAGACAAGCAGGGGCTGTATGGTCAACTATCATGGATTTTGCTACCTAGGTTTCTCCATTTGGTCCGAGCTCAAGTAAAGGGTGTCTGTGGTCCCTGGCAAATCCAGACTCCCTAAAACTGCAAGTACATTACTTCCCAGCCACTGTGCAGCCAAAAGGATATTTGGGTCAATTCTTTTGAGGCATTGAAGAGAGCAGATGACAAGTACAAAAATAACTTATCTTTCCTTTTTTGTTCTAAAGAGTTTATAATGAATATCCACCCAGTCTGAATAGGTAAAGGAGGCCCATTAATTTCTATCCAGTTCTAAATTTCTCAAAACCGTGTCCATGAACAGAAGATCGTGGTGCATTTCTTCCATCAATCACCTGCTTCTTTTCCATGCTTGCATCTGACGTGGTCTTGACTCTGATCATTTTGAAATTTCCATCAGGATTATATCTATAGAAAGTCATTTTAGGTTTTTATAATGAAATTAGGATCCTTTAAAAAGCAAGAATTACTGTGCTGCGAAGCTACCCCATAAACCAGATTCTCGGATATTATATTTCAAGGGCAATCCATGAGACTATGGAAAAATAAAGGTCAATTTGAATATTTACATTAAATGAGGCAGGAGGTTAGAACAAATGGGCATCTGCTGGAGAGATAGATGATCTCTCATTATTCACACTGGCATCCAATTCATTCAGTGTGAT